AAAAGAAGAGTCGAGCTTTACCGTGTGGAACCGTCCTGTATGTTTCTCTAGGAAAACATCCAGCGTTTCTGGTCAAGGCACCGGAGGAGGCCTTCAACAACATCACCTTAGTCTTGGTCCAGCGCCGGCCTTGAGACAGACATGGAGAGTGACCAGTGGGAGAAACTAAGAAACACGTGGATAATATGGTATCATGTCTTCGTTTTGAATGTTATACTTTTGTTTCGCCTGAATTCATTCAAGAAAAAAAGACAGCACAAGACATGGCCATTTGTTGGTAAATTCCTGCTAAAGAGTTCGTAAAGTCTTTCGCTGCAGGGGCACCCTGTGAATGAGTTCATGTATGTTCATGTGAGTTTTGATGATGAAACCTGAGAACCCTTGAGACTTGTATACATGCATACCCAGACACTCCATGTATGCCATATATGCCTACATTGGGGTGGTTTTTATACATGAACTGGTGTATCACTGGTGGTGTGCCGGACGTTGGGCCCACTGTGAAGCATGGTCGCCTGTTTCTTCGGTGGCCCAGGGCCAGGCAATCGTTCTGAAAAAGCAAGGACTTCCAAACCGTTCATTGACCTAGAAGATGGTGATGAACCTTTCAAACCTTCCAAACCTTCAATGCTATCTGCTTAGATGAAGATGTGCAGTATCGGTGCGTGGGCGCTTTCTCAGACACTCCATGGATCATTCACCTATGTTGACTCCTCAGTTGACTCCGCAGTTGCCTGGGAGTCATCTACCGAAGTTGGACTCTCCCAGCCTGAGGATCCGAGAATAGAGGAGAATGTACTTAGCATGACTGAAAAGGTGAGTGCGTAGGTTGGTGAGTGACGTAACATGACTTAACTATAGGTTCGGTGTAGGTCGGTGTAGGTCGCTTGGTGAGTGAACACCTTCACACAAAGGTGAGTGAACCAAAACAGAGACCCTCTGAGACGACGCAACCAGACCGTCGCAGCTTCCGTCGCCCCTGGTCGCTTCACCCGCTCGTTTCGTTTCAGACGAGCCCGGCGACCCACGACGAAGGGTTCGCCAGACACTATAGACCCACTGGACCCAACTGTGCGACGGATGGCATGGTAGAAGGTGGGTGGTAGAAGGGTAGAAGGGTAGAAGGTGGAAGGTGGTGGATGGATGGCATGATCGACCTCACCCGGTGTTTGTTTCAGGTTGATCACCCGAATTCATCCGCCAGCCGGTCCCAGGACGTCTTTGTCCGTGGCCGTCGGTGGGGGGGTGCCCGGAGCTCCGTCGACGGTCGCGAAAGAAAAGGGGGGAACCGAGAGGGACCCGGAGGGGAGAGCATTCCCCTGTCGAGTTTCCCCCTGGACCGTGATGGTGTTTAGCACGAGTGACGCTAGTCGATCAGCCAGCTTTTTACGAGCTAAAGGAGCTACAGACGAAAGCGTCTTATTGGCGAATGCAAAAGAAAGAGATGGTGTTTGTTGACATGTTTTAGGAGAATGTTGACATGTTTACACTTAGACGTCAGTGTTTTGGACCAAGGAATCGCCACAGGAACATCTTGATAGTTACTGTTCTACAGTCCTGCAAGTTCCGGGGTGCTGGAAGGGGAGGTCCACTCGGGATGGGACTCACTGGGATGGGACTCACTGGAACTTGGTGGTCAAAGGACGTCACATCCTTAAAATTCCCGAGGCAGAACCACACAAAGCCCCAAATCCAAACAAAAAGACACACCACTGGATGGGATGGTAGGTGGTCTTTGACTAAGATCCTCCAAGGCAGAAAGTAGGAAGAGATCAAAAAGATTGACAAGACCCCAAATCGGGCACGGGATATACTGGGGCTTTCTGGACATCCAGGGCACTGCCTGTGAAAGGTATCGATCCACTGCCACCCTTTGAGGGACGGTGAAGGAAGACACTGAGAGATGTAGGTGCCAGGAGGGTCCAGTCGACCTGAGAAGGTACTTGGATTCCTATAGGGTGGAGCATAGTGGATGCACATTGTCAGAGGATGGTTTTCGATGATTTTGGTGGATCATTTTCGCCCGAGACCATTGGCCAGTTGTGGAATCGGTGGCTGAAACAGAGCTGGACTTGACGAACACGACCTGACATGTGTTCTATTGGGGAACGTTAAACGATGAGAAGCTGAGAGCTTCAGACAATATAATTTCACTGAAGTAGGAAGAATGTAACATGATGTAACCCATAAATCCATATTTCGGAAGCATTCTCTAGCTCTAAGCATGCTCTGCTCTAGCTTCACTCCGGAAAGAGGAAAGACCTGGCATCGCCTTATGCGTTCCCTGGCTTCGGCGAACATGCGTCCGTTGAAAAACGGATCCGATTCCCGGAATCCGTGGGAAGAAGCGAAACCTTGTCGTGTGCCCCAAGACATCTGGTGACGTACTGGTCGACCCATAGGACCCAGTTTTTCATGCAAATCATCCCAAAAAACTACTATACGTACTACTTGTGCTTTGCGTTTCGCACGACCACCGAGTTGAACCAACTCGGAGTGAAACACCGAGGACAGTCCGACCACTGCACCGCTTGGACCGAGGACTGTTGGTGGCGATGCGGCCATCGATTTCGTGGAGCAACCTGCAGGCGGGGGCTCGGAGGAAAGCCGCACGGAGCGCGCAGAGCGCAGCTCAGGGTGGACTGGGAAGCGAAGGAGGGGAAGGAGGAGCTTCTAGGAGGTCAGTGGGGGACCTTTGAGGTATCAACAGTGTGTGCAAGGATTCGTTCGTATTTGGTGAAGGATGTGAAGGGGCAAAGAAACGATAGGTGTGATTTGTATGCAGAGTCTTCCTCAGGATATCTCAGGAATATGATGATTAACGTTGGAGTCTCAAGCGAAAGGGTGTTGAACCCAAAGGGTTGAAGGCACAGGCAGTCCAAAGCATATACTGCCAGACCAAAGCATCGGTGACCATTGAGGGTTCTATATATACAGCTCAAGCACTACAAGCAGCGACGAATAGCTCTCTGAGAAGTGCCTCAGACATGATCAATCACTCTGGCGGCTAAAGAAACTCGAGTCAATGACTTCCCACCAAGTTGCAGCCCTGTTTCCTAGTGGATTCGCACGGAAACTTCACCGATGCCCATTCATAGGATGGACAGGTGTTCCGAAGTCCAAACACTTTTCCAAAAGAACGTCAATGTAAAGTGAAAGCATGTGAAAGGTCAAGTTGAGTAAAACAAGATCCTGGTAACGTTTCCTCAACAAAATAAAACAAAATACTTTTTGAGGTCCCAAAAACCACCTTCCGACGCCCGACCTGCGATCCTCATCCTTCACCACCGGTCCCCAGGTCTCGCTCCACTCCGGCTGGCGCTCGAGGGTCCGGGCCCGAAGGTCGTTGGACTTCAGGCAACGCCAGGGGACCGACCGGTGGGCAGCCACCAAGTCGCAGGAATTCACCACAGAGTCGAGGGTTCTCACCACAGAAGGTCTATGGTCGAGGCCTGTACAGAGTGGACATGTTCACCCTTTTTCTTACTCGATCGCGTGGCGTGGAGCACCAAGTTGGGGAGGAACATGTCCCAACCAAATCACGTGAGAGTGTGGAGCCGGGATACGCCATTTGGCTACGGCCAGAAACATAAGGCTTGGATCACACACCCAAACCCACACACGATCCATACCTCGATCCATAGGGTATGGATCAAAAGGTGGGTGTGTGATCCAAGCCCTTGGATCACACAACTACTAGTGCTACCTGCCACAACAACAACTACTACTACTACTACTACTACTACTACTACGACTACTACTACTACTACTACTACCTCTGCTGCTACTACTGTTGTTACTGCCACCACTCCTACTGCTACTGCCACTACACTTGCTACCACTACTGCTACTACTACTACTACTGCTACTGCTGCTGCTGCTACTGCTACTCACTACTATCACTAGTATTACCACCACCACAGATTTAGCGGAAGCCACTAGATTCAACTTCAAATTGACTTCCCATTCTGGCAAAAGATTTAGTGGAATCCGCTAAGTATGGTCACAGCCGGGACTCGAACCCTGACACCGTGGAAGCTTTAACCATTAAGCTATGGAAGCCTCTGATAGGCCAAACAGAATTGGCGGAAGCCACTAATCAGTGTTTGGAGTGAGCCTCCTATTAAATGACTTGAGAGCCCACTGAATCACCAATTTGCGTGGCTAGCTAATGGCCTTTTTGTGCCTCTTGTATCGTCTTCTTGAACCAAAACAAGGGCTGGAGAAATGAGGTTAGTGCCCGAAGACTTTAATCCGCAAGGCCTCTTGTTAGCCCAAAAGTGAACCAGCGCCCATTGCCACCCACTCTACCCAACCATGGCCCAATATGTGGACAGTGGAGCGCAATGAATTTAGCGGCGGCCAGTACTTCAAAACAGGCTTGCCACAAACAGGATGGCTTTGATCGTGGAAGCCACCACCTTCACAGTGAACTGGTGAGAAAGTTGTGGGGTGGAGCGCCACCATGCAGATGTGTTTATATCGGGGGCTTGGATCAAGTGACTTGTCGGTTTGATCCCATAGGGCTTGGATCAGCGCTCTGATCCATAGGGTTTGTCACTCTCGCTGCAGCGCGGAACGATCCATACCAGGGTTTCTGGCCACACCCATTTCTTGTGACGAGTTATTTTGGTGGTTTGTTGTTTATATTTTTGTATTTCGGAAAATCGGCACTTTGCACGGGGGGACTGTGACACTCCACCACGTTTCGGTTTTGGAGCTTTTTGATGGAGCCGCTTTTTGAGGTGAACCTTTTTTCACGGTTGAACTTGGGATGGTACACGAAAGAAATATGATGCACAATTCAACGTTAATCAATTAATGCTATAATATCATTTTTATATATATAATAGCTATAAATCAGTATTCCCATCCACAATAATCAAAGTTTTGCCACAACGAGAGGAGTGGTGATTCTGTGTTCGCCAGAAGATGAAGACAAATAAGACGATACTGATCATTGTGATGATGATATGATGACGACACTATGTAACATGATAACGTATGACAGCATGCCAACATGATGTTGATTCTTGGAACCCCTGGCTTAATGGCAAACTTTGTTGTTCAAACCACCACGAAACCCTCGACTTCACTGCTTGCGACCTGATCGACGTCAAGGAAGCGACGTCGCGGGCCATCCGACTCCTAGGCCCTAGGCATTGGAGATCCAATGCTATCCGATTCACTTCAACACTTCCAGCATGGGTTGTAGTTTTGTGGAGGGTGTTGTGTGTTTTCTTGTCAACGGCCTTTGTGCAAAAAAACAATACATCCTCCAATGCATTCCATGTGGACGCAAGTGGGGCCTGGATGGGTGTCAGTCTTCGTTTCATACCTCGTGTCCTGCACAACCCCGCATGATCATGCACGACCCCTTTCCACCGCGGAGGGCATCCGGTGGAGGACTGCCGGGCTACGAGTTCAAGCGGAAGTTCTGGTATCACCAAATCCTTTTGAAGCGTGACCAAGTCCCAGACACTCCATGGGACTGCCATATATGCCGCCCCATTGACCCCCAAAACCACCCCAATGTAGGCATGGCGTACATGGAGTGTCTGGGAATGTTTCTTTCGTCTCCAGCGTTAATCTGATTTGTTCGAAGGAAGAACTACTGTAGCAAGTTTCTCCAGGACATATCTGCAGAGAACACAAACACTTAGAAGGAGTAACATCAGTTACTCTCAGAGTCACTAATATATGGATGTGGAGACAAAGCAATTTGCCTGGGAAGGTTTTTCATACCAACAGGATCCAACTTGGGCTTTTCCAGTTCCATGTGATATGTTGGTACAGTCCCAGTGCAACACCGTTCTTAGTAGGATCTTTTCTATAATAAATCCTTCGTCGATGTTTCATTCTTCTGCGCTCGATTCGCCCCGGCTTCTTCTGCGCTCGCGTGCCTCAGCCCGAGGTTTGGAACTGTGTGGATCCTGTGGCAGTTCAAAGGCGCCCGGAGAGACAAGAGAGACGACGAGAGGCGAGTCGCGGCGAGTCCTTGAGACGACCGAGAGTGATCGAGTCGCGAGTCGAGTCGCGAGTCGCGATGGAGGCCAAAACGATCCAGGCCCAGTGGTTTTCAGGTTCCACGTGGGTCTCTTCCAGGGTGTAAACATGGAAGGATTCGGAGTGAGAGAATGCCGATAAAGTATGCATACAATTAGGGCTGCGTTCGATGAGAGATTTTGGTGATTACTAGATTTGATCTCCTTAAGCTCTGGTTCATTTCGATTGCTGTTTTAGGCCGCCGTCTTGGTGGCAAGCGTTTGTGCTTCGATGACACACTGGATGACACACGTTTGTGAGGCAACTGCCCGTGAGCTTCTGCTTGGTGATGAGCAAGTTGGGCTCTTGGGGCCATGGGAAGCTTCGGCGGGAGCGAAGCAAGACCCAAAGCTCCATGACACCGTTTGCTGCCATTGCAACATAGTGCAACCATGTAAAGAGACAGAATGACAATGACATATTGCAACATATTGCATGACCATATTTTCTCAACATGTAAGTCGATCCCTAGCTCGGTGTTCAATCATATAGCTTGGCATGGTCTTCCGCCGTGTTCGTCTTGCTGGCGGCACTCCGTTGCACTCCGTTGCACTCCGTTCCACCGTCTCCGTCTGCAACCGAGGCTGTGCTTGATCATGGCCTTAGAGAAATTGGATGCTGGATCCGTTCGGGTTCGCTGGGCGATCCCGGGTGGTCCGGCGCTTTCGCCTCAGCGGCTTAGGTGGGTGACCTTTTTTTTGTTTTTGCGCCCATAAGAAGTGGAAGAGATCTGAACCTCCGAAGTGGGTCATGGATTTAGCGTTGACCATGTTGAAAGAAGAACATGTTTGGTGCTTTCCAAGACATGCCTCCCCCATGGTCTAGTGGGGGTCTTGATTCACACTAGCTTTATCTAGCTTTGGTCAAAGCTCTCTCGGACTCAGACTTGCTGTACGCCTTTTGTGAGGAGGAATTGGCCACAACCCAAAATGAAGACCCGCACACCATGGTGTCTTAACATGTCTTGACAACATGAATTCCCCGGTTCGGGGTGCGAATTCCCGAACTTGCCATAGCCCGGCAAGAAGTCGAACCTGGCGTGCCAGGTGCTTTGCCAATCGAGTTTGCCATTAGTGGGCGTTGCCGGAGTGTGGCCCCCAAGGGCGCAGAACAGTTGGACGTGGGTTTTACATGGTTTTACTGTAATGACCAATACCACAGCAGGGTGGATATTTTTCTGTCCTGACAACGTGTCCAGCTTGGTATAGACTCAGACCCCATGTAGTACCCCATGTGTTTGCTATTGTTTGCTGTTTGTTTGGTGGGATTTCATTGCATTGGACCAATTGTTTTCTTCAAGCTTTTTGTTCCTCTACAGGGGACCTCAAGAGAAGTTAGAATTGATCACCCTGGAACCCACTGGGACCCTGGGAGTTCATGGAGGCCTCTGGGAGTATGCGTCCTGGTAGTCATCCTTGTCCGTCCAGACCGAGACTCACGCCTTTGTCTTCAGACGTGAGGCTAAGCAACACGCAGGCTTTGTTTATTACTTCGTGTCTTTCCACTGGCATGGGGCCGACTGTCGCCCTGCTACGTCACCACGGCCTCAAGTTAATACATTGTGCAACAACAACTAACTGGACCACTTCGGGTCGCCTTCCACAGATGGCCCGGTGGCAGACCTATCTCAAAGACAGCCAGGAGCTTCAGTTCGTGACCTCCAAATGGAGTCTTTCTTGGTGATCTCTTCAGGGACTAAGATGACCAAGTGGCCTCCTCCGTGGCCTGTTTTTGCTCTCCTTTCACTTTGAAGGTCCTTGAGGACCCCTGTAGATGCACGACCTGTCTTTTGCGGATCCCTGAAAATCGGCCCGTTCCCTCACTCAGAAAATGGGTTTTGGATACCAGTCTTATCTGTTTTTAATAGAGTTCGCGTGCTGATTTTCGTACTTTGGAGCCCTCCAAAGCGTCCACACACGCTTCACGCATGTTCGGCATTCTGCATTCGCTTCCTAGGCTGGGTGGTGCACGTTTGTTTTCCATTGGTTGTGTAAAGTTGTGTATAACATATTATATATATATTATATATTAATTAGTTAGATATGTCTATATTATATGTTTGCTTTTGGGGGGGATGGTTGAAATCATCAACCACCACAAACTATATTGACTTTTGTTTCTACCAACAGAGTCAAGCATATAGTGAATCAGCTCATTCAGGAAAACAATAGCAACATCAAATGGACATTAAACTATGACTCTATGACCAGAATCCACCCGGCACCTGCTATTGAACAAGTTCTCCTGCAGTCTTGCTCTTTTGAATCCTCTTTGAGGCCTTGCTCTTTCGGCGCCGCTACTCAGCCATGCAGTATGGTGGCTCAGTGAGCTTCTTTGAGGCCATGTGTGGGGAGACCCCAAAGACCTGCAAGAAGGGCACAACACACGCAAAACATCGTAAAATTCCTTGGTTCCGGGCTGCGCTTCGACAGACATGAATAGACTGAATAGACCTAGATGAAACCGCCAGTCAAACTCTTTTCATCCGAGGACGATGGAGGGAATCCCACCCGAAACAGAACGTAAAACGCTGTGGTTCATGCGGCCATTGCAGACCGCAGACCGATGGATTTCAAGCCTGGATGGAGCCCTAAATGGTCCATTTCTGCCTGGATTTCGAGCTTTGATGCCATCACAATTCGTAGGATGAATCAAGATCCAGTGGATACAGGACCGGACGCCGAACTGGGCTTGATCGATCCTGTGAATCCTGTCAGATACTTTTTCTGAACTTTAGAGTCAGATCACTTGATGCTGTTGATTCACATCAATTCACTCATTGTTCATGTGTCTTGACATTACTTCAGAAGAAAAAGCTGTAAATTATGCAGGGCTTGTTTCATTTTTGTTGCGTTCATTTGCAGCCACGGAATGGCATTCGGCGCCCAGTTGTGGTCGAATCAGAGCATAGAATGCACGGGTCCAAAGTAATAGCAACCATGCGTGCAACGTCTCAAAGGTATGTTGTACGTCTTGTCTCAAAGTTGCTCTTGAACATCTTGCTTCTGAACTCCACATCCGGGATTGTCAGATTTGTGTGAACAAATAATACGTAGCGGATGGACATAGAGGCTTCACTCCATACCTACATGCCTCGCCCCTCAACAAGGCCATCTCCATCTCCTGTAGGGACAGTTCAGATTGACTCTCCCTGCCAACCAGGTGGTGTTCATTGGCGGGCGTTACTGTGGCGCTGGGCTGCTTCTACTATGTGAAACACCAGGCTCTTGTTCCCGTGGGGCTCGAAGCGCCAGCGGCGGTGGCTTCCTTGGGAGAGGAACATAGTCTCTTAGAGCTGTCAATGCGTCCATACAACAAAAACAGCGGTGCTTGGTCAAGAAAAAGGGTCTATTCCAGGGACTTATTTTCCACTTCCATGATCATTTCCGGGAGTGTACGGACACTGGAACAGTACTCCGTCTACTTGAGGATCCAACGAACGTCTCTGGAGCCAACGAGGAGTCCGTTCTGCTCGGCACTTCTCGTCAGCTTCACGGCTGCCCACAGCTGGGAGCACCTGCACGGCTTGGGGATGGGGATGGGAGGTTGTGATGTCCATCCTGCATGTTGATGGTTCAGTCCGAGGAGCCAAGCTGCTCTCCGCAATATGCAGCTCTCAAGCATGTCCCATTGCTCTCCATTTGTAATCGAGCCAATGCTTATAACATTTAGTTGGCTTTTGACTCGTTTTGGGCTTGGCAGAGAAGCAGTTTCGCGAGGATTTGCTTTGAAGCATGATCAATTTTCTTGGGTCTTTCCTTGGTCTTTCCATTTCAAGCGACCCAGACAGCTGATTCTCGCTGCTTCGTCCACTTGTTAACCCCAAAGTTTGTTGTAAGAACGGGGGTGCCAACGGTGGCCACAGAAACAAACATAATTGCTGAATGATATCGTCCTTCTTGAGTCTCTTGGCCAAGCACGGGCGGAGGGTTATACCCCATATATATATATCCCTATGGATCCACATACCTTCTGAGAAGGTGATTGGAGACTATTAATGTAGGCGCCAGGAGGGTCCAATTACCTTCTGACAAGGTGGCAGTGGATCCATAGGGTATATGGACCCCATAGACTTGTTCGGTCGCACTGAATTCCGGTGAATTCACCTCACTCGCTCGGTGACTCGCCGCTGACTCGCTCCTTCGGGTCCTCCGCGCCGCGTCGCCGTTTGGGATCGGCAGGTCACGCTGCGTAGCAAGTCTTCGCAGCACCAGGCAGACGTGTTTTCGGGGGGGGGTCTTTTTGGGGTCCACCTGTTGCCCAACAGGCCTTTCGGGAGAGAGGAAGCGCTTGGGCGAGCTTGCGGTTTCGCGAAACCGTGGCCACTGGGAGTTCAGTGACCACCATCGATGTAAAGTGTGGGTGTAGCCGTGGCCGTGAAGCTTCCGAGAGTCTGATTGGGGCCCCTATATGATTCCACCACATGCACACATGGGGGTGGTTTCAGCTCCATCAGCTGATCCCTCAAGCTCAAGAATTTCAGAATCCAGTGCCTTGTAAAACCAAACACCACCCAAACATGTATGAAAGATTATGAGACATTGCCAGGAGTCTAAGTCTAAGTCTTCTAAGTCCTTAGACAGGTGATGAATGTAATTATTGTGGATTCACAACGCGACGAACATATTTTCTCGGTAGCCAACCCTCACAGGGAGCTACAACCAGGGATGCACACAGTTTTTTTGCAATTCCATTTTGATTGAGCTAAGATACTCTACCTAAAGCTCAGTCAATCGGAGACAAGCTGATTGTAGGGATCCCGATCTCAGATCTACTGTGAAGTGTCATTGGGTGATCCTCCCAAATTACTGCAAGGTTCGCCTTGCAATGGTACAACACATCCTTAAAGCATCTTAAAACATGAACTCCCATCGGCAGCATGGCTCCCGCATGCCGGGAGAAGGACCACCGGATTCTTTTTCCTCTAGGTGTCCCGCTGAAGGACCACAGGAACAATACAAATTGAGGAGATTGACCTTTGAAGTCGAAGTACCACTAGTGAGTGGATGATGGAACTAGATGGAACTCCTGGAGCTTCTTCTCGTCCTTCCACCTTTCTCAGAGTCTCCAGATCGCCACACGAATGTAGGTGGGCGCTCACAGTCAGAGGCCAGCCCCACACCGAAAAAGAGGAGCATGGCGGCGGCGGGCATCGTATCGGATATTGATGGATTGGTTCCAAATAACTTGGGCATGGCAAGCATGTCCAAGTAATGTTTGAAGGATGGGTTCCATTGGGTTCCAAATGACCCTGTCCAATTGATAGACATTCTCTGGTTCGAAGCTGCTGAGCTGGCAGATCAAGCAGTGACCTCTTTCGATATTGCACGTCATGACCGAGTCTCACAACGATTCGGCCGTTCGCTGACACCCCGAAGCCCGGCTGAGCCGGGAGGTCTTTTCAGACGGTTGAACAGTTTCCAAGGGTTGGATGAAGGTGTGTGTTGAACTGGAAGCTAACTGGGACAGTTTGAAGATATTCGAACGTTTCTTTGTCCTAGGCCAGAGATGCATTTTGACTTCGACACGGCTGCTGGAAGTCTTCTCACCTTAGCGTCCATCGGTCATGGCCTTATGAATTGATTTGCGTCGTCAGAAGAGTCTCATTTTTGATGGAGATCATGTTCGAGAGCAGATCTGCAGCTGGGTCTAAAATGGTCGAAACCATTCCTAACTTAACAGTCTTAGTTTGTAGCTGATTGAACACAAGGCTTCATAATATGATTATTATATTATAGTGACATTATTACTTAAGAAGTCAGTGATGGTTAGTAAGATGTTCAGAAATCTTCCGAATTAACCATTTTATATGCAACAAATACCTAGATCTTCAGTCCGGATTTTGCCAGATTGAGGTCCGGCACTTTTTTTAGCCTAAAGGAGGATCCAGGTATGGTGAACTAGATAGTGGATATCATCTATTAGACTGGTCCAGTGGAGTCGTCACACAGACCTCTTGTCTGGTCTCCGACCCGGTGAAGTCGACGCGGATCCGATTCTTAGAGAAACCGACCCAGTTCAGCGGATCACCGGATATCACCAAAGCCGTTGGCTTATCCAGGCGGAAAGTTGGGTTCACCTTTGTTCCAGGGAAACGGCTGCGAGGGTCAGGGAACATATTCCCAGCAAAACTTCCATACCTCGGCTTTTGCGTACAAGAGAACCTGCAACATGCGAAGGGCTGTTTCATTTGCAGTTTCTTTGTCTCGTCCTATATACGAGACTTGTAGACCACGACATTGCAAAGAGGAATAAATATATAGGAGGAAGTTGGGGCACAGTGATGTCCCGTGTATTCAGGAATTGTTGGAGGCGCCGGGTCTTAAAACCCACTGCTACCCGGATGAATACTCCAATAATGACACTGGCAGCCGCTGACCGATCATATACTCACCTACCATGGTTGTTTGACTTCCATATGTTTTTTTTTGGACCACCACCCAAATGAGATAGCACCTCAGCTGTAGTTAGCACAAAGCTGATGCCCATCCAAAAACATAGACTCACCAATGATCAGGGTTGGCATGCCACTTGGTGGACTTGAACATAGTCGATTTCATTCAATTTCTATGAATGCTCAGGTCTCTTGCGGGGGGTGATAGGTTCTGTTGCCCATTGCAATGAGACCCCCGGGGTGCGACAGGCCGTTTGTTTCTCACCCGGTGCGAAAGGCCGGAGGAGCTGAGAAGGCCAGGTCTGGTCCTATATAAACCCTTCGATTTGGTTGGTTTCAAATATGTTTGGCCCACGGGTCCCTGAGGTTTCAATTGCCTTGGAGTTCGAAAGCCAAGTGGATGGGACACGGATGGACTCCAGAAAGCTGATGGGGATGTGGCTCCAAAGTAGTTGGCAGCTGAAGTTCACCGCAAGTTGGGGGAGGATGGGTACTCTCGCTGAAAACAGCTTGGAACACAGCTGATCTCGCATGATCTCGCACCACCAACTGCGACATGGTTGGAGGATGTCGTCAATGACTTGAACAAAAACTATGAGAGCTAGCCCCATTCAAATAATCTATACCATAAGATACTATAAGAACATGTCGCTGGACCACAAGGTAGCCTATGTGATGGAAATGGATTGGTTGACATTGGCGTTCTCACTTGGCCACTTAGGCCACTTGGGCGATGTTCGCCATGTTCTTGTTCCTCAAGTGCAAGTAGTTCACATCTGGTCTCAGAGCGAGCTTCAACAACCGCAGATGTTCACCCTGTCCAACTCCCTGGCGTTCCGACTCCGACTCCATCCAGGGTGTATGTCCAGGTTGCCAGGCAGCGCAGGGTCGTCTCCTTTCCCCGTTCCCAAGGCTCTTTTGGTTGAGAAGTTCCTCAAGAAGAAGCGACTTGGCCGTTGACCGACCTCGTGCTTCCTCAAGTCGGTGGGGCTCGGTGGACCGTGGACCGTGGACCTGGATGGAGAGTCCCTTTCTTCGGCGCTGGAAGAATGTCTTCAGCATACAATTCCCCAAATGACGAACCACATGGACATGATCAGGTGTCTGAAAGAATGCATGTGTTTTTTTTCAATGTCTATGTCATGATATTGGGGAGTAATTACAATCCAACCATTACAAAACATTGTAAAACCATGTAAAACCTACAGATGGTTGCAGATGGCTGTTGCTGTTTTACCTCTCTGCTTACCTTCATCGTCACGCCGACCCACCAGTAGCTTCCAAGAGAACGACAGTAGCAATCCCCCAAAGAGGCACATGGCTCAGTTGACCTGGTCGCGGCGGGGTGGGGTGCTGCTCGCCGGGTTTTTCCGTCGGTCCTGCCATCGTTTTAAACAGTGACACACAGTCTGCAGGATCTGAGGGCATCATCTACTGCGGCCACTGTGTCCCACGGCTAAGCTCGTTTAGCCAACACAGTGACCGCAGTAGATGATGCTCTCAGAATATAGCCGTGGGACACAGTGACGCGGACCGCAGCAGTATTAGCGTACTGTAGATGAGGATGGCGTGGTGCTGCGCATCATCTCAGAATATATTCTAATAATTTATAGTGTAGTAGTATTCCGTATTCCTGTCAACATTGCGTGGTACATGAAGACTGGTGAAAACCCATGAAGCGTGGAAGATCATTACTCATGCCAGGCTTTTTGGAATGATTTCAAGAAAGAGGGACTCTCGAGTATGGAAGGGCCGGTTGATTCTATCCAACTGCATGGATAGTGGCTAGTAGTGAATAGATGATGCAGACAGCTTCTTGTTTACAGTAAACATAGAAACATGTCTGACTCCTGACCAAACAATATTTGTAGAATTTAGTAGACTTTCAGAGACTCACCATCAAACCCGGAACTATCCATCAGGATCATGTTCTTTCATCTCGCAGGAACGGCTACCTGTACGAGCAGAAGACACAGTTGGTGTGTGGTGAGGCTGAGATCAGTCAAGACTGCTTTCTGTGTTTGAAATGTCCACTTCAGCTTGCGTAGCTTGAATGACCTGGATGATATCCTTACAGTGGGCCATCAGAGTAGATGGCACTGGCACCCCTATATGTCCTTTAGATGGGGGTCCATATAAACCACCTCTTGGGGTCCATATAGGTCTTCACAGAGTCACACCTGCGATGTTGGCTTAGTTCTCCACCGTCTCAGTGGTCGACTCCTGTAGCCAACTGACCGGTCGATCGAAGCCGCGCGTTGGTCGATGCGGGGGCCTTTAAGCCTAGCCTGGGACATGCGACCCCCGCAAAATGCCAAACAGATCTGCGGACACGCGAAACCTCGCCACCTCAATGAACGATAAGTGATTGGTTGTTTTTTTTAGTGCTTCGGTCCACCTCGACGACATGTTCTTTTCTTGTCACCACGATAAGTTCATTGTTCAGGCAAACACAAAAATGCACATAATTGCACGATGGTTGTCGAGATGTGTTTAGTTTTGTTGTTTATCTTTTTTTCTCAACTTATATATAAACCAACAACAACCTGAAAAGTAAAGGTCCATTGTATATAAATCGAAAGCAACGATGGTTTTTGAGGAGCTTAGACGGATGCAACACTTTGATACACGACTTGAGCCTTTTTCGACGATTCCGAGCAGCCAAGCCGGCGGTTTGTGTGGTGGCAGCATTTGGATAGGATATTTGGCCGCCACGCCCTGGCTGCTTTCTTGTGAGGTCTTTTTCAACATCGTCCTGCTGGTTGCCATGCCCTTCCTCTTCACAGCCTGCAGCTCAGTCCGAGTCCGGAGGCGGCTCAGCACCCGGCCTGCCTGGTCGGCCAGGCTGCCAGGCCGATTTCGGCGATCTCGGCTTGTGTTTGATGCTGAGAGGTCTTTGGCTGATGGCAAGAGAACTTGCAGGAGCATTTTCGTTGCCAAGAGCAGTCCCTTTTGGTGATGAAGACCACCTGCGAAGAGGTCTATAGACACAGCAGACATCCGTGGCAGGATTGTCCATCAGCAAGTCACGTTGATCATGAACATGATGCACTTGGACCTTGAACTACCAGTTGAAGTGGTGCACTTGGGGACAAGATGGGTGGACATCTATTCCAAACCCTCAGATGCGATTCATGTCACAGCGTCGAAGCCTTCGAGCATCGCCCAGCGTCGCCCACCAGAAACAGGGAGGCTCTCCCAGACCAATCTGGGCGTTGCTAAGCATGGAAACAACATGAAACAACCTCCTGAGACCTCCGCGTGCTTGAGAAAATGCATGAAACTCGTTATAGACAACGTAATGATATGTTTGACGACATCCCAGGGTATATGTTAGTCCGCTTCCATTCACCAAGTGAACCGCCCAAAACACTGCGGATGCCAGAGGTTGGCATCCGCATTTGGTGACATTTTTGACCCGGGAGTCCGCACAAACCGGTGCTTCCGTACATGTCCATATGCTGCTTCACCCGGGTGCTTCCGGATGCTTTCTGGAAAAAACGGAAGATGCCATTGAACCTAAGGATCCAGAGAAGCAGATGTTCCACTCCGTGTGGCAGAGGGGCTTCTTCACCGGCTGGGCACTGGTGCTCAGATGAAGGGCATCGAAGTGCCAATGCTGCTGAACAGATCCAACAAAATCGTCCGGTTCTGCACTTTTGACACGGTTTTTGCAACCTCACTCAGTTTGTTTCTTCTGTGAGTGGTTTTGACAGCATTCCCTGGTGTTTCGATCCTGGATTCTTCTTTGGGCATCCGTGAACATCACAGAATATCAACCGAATTTGGTATTTGGGAGGTGGGCTGTGGTCCTTTGCTGTGGTGTTTGCCCATGCTTTTGACGGAAGACATCCTGGAATCCTGTACGGGATGTGTATTCTCAAGCTCAGGTGGTGCAAGGATTGTAGGTGATTCTATCTATGGTCATATATGTCATATTCCTTAAAAAGCAAGTGGCAGAAGCCAGAAGCATTGTCGTTTTTGCACGCCAAAATCCCAAGCAGGGGCACAGCACAGGACCGCACAGCACCGCTGCTCGGACTGAAAACACGGCGCCGTCAGGACCTTCGCGTGTTGATTTGCGCGCTGGTTTGGATCCCATCAGGCAGGGGTATCGCATGTGTGACCCCCTCGGACCCCCGTGACACGGTGTTTGGACCCGCGGGGCGATGAGTGAGAACTTTATGTATTACAGATGGGCAGCTAGGAAAACAAACATGATATAACATATCCATGATGGGCAGGTAGGAAATGATAACGTATATATATATATATATATATATATTCCATTATAATCCAGTATCCATGATGGGCAGCTAGGAACACCCTCTAAATCAGGCACCGGCGCAAGCACAATCAAGCATAATCACAGGCCCTGCGGCCCTGCGGCCCTGCACTAACTATCACAAATTTGTTCATGCTGATTTGTAAACTGTGGCTACCTTTGTCTCGTTCCGGTGACTGCACCAGGCTGGACAGCCACGATGTTGGTCAAGGCAGGTGTTGCGGGAGGGCGATAGGTTCAAGGCATGGTCGTTCGATGCAGACGTTTAGTATTAAATGCATCATGAAAGACACATGACATGTGGAGCACGAAAACTGACATACCCAGAACTCCTTTGACCCCTGTTTTGATAGGATATGTGTGGTTGGAGATCTACTGTGAATACAGGTCACTCCGCTTCTAGGTCCAGGTTTAGAGTGGCGTATGATATATGTTACATGTAGTATAAGGTATTCTAATATATGTTTGGTTGGTTTTGTTTTATCGTACATCAACTCGAACTCGAACTACAGGCTGTGCAACTCTTCAAACCTTTCTATAATGTCCTGATGACCAAATCCAAATTCCGCCGTCAGTTTTTGAATTTTTCTTGCGATGTGTTCGAGCCTGACTGCCAGCCCATGCCAGGAGGCCTCCAATGTTTTAAAGGTCGTGGCACAGGGTGCAGCCTCCGTGTTGACTCTGGGTAGCACAGGTTCGTCCTTTTGAAGTGCGTATGACTTATGATGGCGGTATGTTCGGCGGGCTAATGCGCTCATGCGCCTCGAATCCTTTGGCCAATCCTTCTTGTACTGTACCTTTGCGATATTGAATACATCAGGAATCCCGTCAGAACCCATCAGAGACTGAACTTTGATTGCAGTTTGGAGTTCAAGAAGGAAACCATCACAAATAACACATAATAAAACCATAAATGAAAAACACAGCAAACTAAAGACGGACAAAAACCTTCAAACACCTCCTTTGAAGACGCGGCACCTTTCGGACGAGCTGCCGCTTGACGGTCGACCCAAGGACCTATGTCTTCAGCCTGACGCCTCTGGTACCAACACACCGCTCGGCCGAGCCCTTGCTGCACGTTAGCGCATGATTTTTTTTGCTATTGGGTTGGAGGCCATCGCTATTGGAAACAACGATATAGGTCATGGCTTCATAGATACGAAGGACAAATGTTGGATGGATTTTAGTAGACGCATGTTTAATTTGTACTAAGCAAGTCGTCTCAAGTAATTTTCATGCAAGTCGGCCAGAGATTCCAGACCTAGTTTTATATGTATATATATAACTATAATTATATATATAAATAGTGCACCTCAAAATCAGGGTTTTGGAGGTATAATACCTTGGATCCAGAATTACTAAACTCAGGTTCCAACCTTCTCACCCATGGCCAGCTTCAGACATCCACAGTAATGCGAAAGCGTCTTTCTGACCGGTCACTGACAAGGCGCAAGCCTTTGGAATGTGGGAACCATACGCTTCTTTGGAAAGACATGTTTTTGTAAAGTTGAAAATCTTCCAACATCCAAAGCCACAAGTTAATTAAAATCAACTGGTGTGAAAAGCTTCACCTCAACTGTCCTGACAAGGGTACCCAAAACTCTTGCGCCCAGGATCCACATTAAAGAGAAGGTTCACAATTATAATTCATCTCCCCATTCTGGCTCCTGGCTTGCTTTGGAATGTTTTCCTTGTTTGATTAAACATTTTCTGGCAATTTCAAAGCAAATGATAGAAGACCACTATTGAGGACCCTCCCAAAGCCTTCCTGCCGAAAAAGAAATAACATTGGCGACCCTTCCTATTATGAATCATTACAACAACTTTGGCCAATAAGCACGAAAGGCTACTCTGAGTTTCTACTTTGTGAAAGCAGCACTCAAGCCAACATGAAAGAGCCCATGTGCCTTATCGCAGAGTAGCGCCAAGCCACCAAAAGACACAAGCATGAAAAGATCTCCCGCACCTCGAGGTCTTCTTGAATACACCCCCTTTCAGCTCCATGTGTTTGGAGCTGCTCACTGTAGAGTCGATGCTCTTCGAAGGACCCTGGCGTCTGGGGAAGACGGCAAGCGTCTACGGGGAGGTTCCGGTGATGATACAAGCTCGTCAGGATCGACGCCCATCACCGGAACCTGCATCCTGAACCTCCAAAAGGCGCCCCATGCATGGGTGTGTACTTTTAGTACCGGGACCACCGTCCTGGCCTAGCCGGATAGCCAGATAGCTGATTTCCCGAACCTGGAACGCGGGTCGGAACGCCGGGGGGGGTCGGTCTCCCTATGTCAATACACAACCAGATTAGGATTATTAGGAGACCCTATATGGATCCACATCCCCTCTGTAGACTCTCCAAGTACCTTCTGACCTTCTGAGAAGGTATGTGGATCCTTAGGGATAGACCCATGGAGATTGAGGCTCGGGAGCCTGTTTCCCCGCCCGTGGTGGTCCTAGCGCTCAGCGTGCTTTTCGTTGCTTGGCTGTCAAGATGCACCAGTCGTGGGTTTGAGTCCTGGTGTCGTGGGGATGGATGAACACCGAATGAACCCCAACACCATGAGTCGCTTGACCGGAACGAACATGAGAAGTCCTTTACCCGCCAAAGACCGAAGGAGATATCCCGGCATCGGACGAAATCATTAATTCGTATTTGGGTCCACAAGCACACACCCAGCCAGCCTTCTGAGTGCCCCATAGAGGCAGAGAAGTCTTCACCTCCAGAAAAGCCTTTGGGGGAGACAAGGATAATCCTAGTTCCGTTTTCTCTATTGAGTGGGTGTCACTTTTAGGGTCCAAGCATGAACTGGTGTCCTGTTCGTTTGTTTTTTGCATCTCACTTGAATCTCTCAATAGGAACAGAAATCCACCCATGGCTACCATCTCAAGGAAACCTGCCAATCACTTTGCCAGATCTCATCTTCCGTGGCCTGGGAACAGTGCTGCCAAGAGTTGTGCGTGTTTCAAGAAACATGCAGGAGCCTCCAAGAGACGTCTCCACTAAAACCCCAGTTGTGCGGCCTTTTTTTTGCGAAGTGGATTACATCAATCTATGGGTCTCCCCACGTCCGAAGCCCAAGACACACGACGCGACCGCGACCCTCGCGACGCCGGGGACCCGACCGGTCGGGCGTCGCGGAACACCCAGGCGGCGCTCACCTTCGGCCTCGACAGCGTGCACCGCAAACAAGGCGTGACCCGTCGGGGACCGCGCCATGACCCGTCGGTCACGCGGTCAGTCCGATGTCGAAAAGACAGGGGTCACGGAAAGCGGCGGCTTGTTGATAATTGATTCATGTTTATTCGATTTGCGGGGTGACTCAAGCACTCGAAGTGTACCATCCGAACATCCGATGAACGTCCGAACATGGGCAGACATTTGTAAAGGCGCCTTGGTCGGTGCTCGGGCGTTCTTGTCCCCTGTTGGTAATCTTGTTGTTTTGGGGGCAATGCTCATATACAAACATATAATAGATAAAGACCCAGCCGTTACAGTACTAGTTCCAGCAACTCCGTGATAACACCCTACAACCAGGGGCTTCAAGTACATGTTTAATGATGACTTGATGCTTCACGTTTGTACATTATTTATCTTTCACTGTTTATGTTTCATTGTTTCCGTCACATCTCGGCGCTCTTACCCACTTAATTAGGCGTTCTTCTGCGTTCTTTTTACCCGTTTCCCCCCCGACTACAATGAGTAGCTTAAAGCTGGCTGGACATGGCTGGACAAAGTAATCATAGCCGTTTTGGGGCGGTGAATGGCATGATGTTTAAGCGTTTTGGAGCGGAAGCTTTTTCATTCTGGTTTTAAGAATGCACGCGATTGTGCCTCGGCGTTCTTTGTGAAAACTGGGTGGAATGTTCTGCCTAATTATGTATGCTATATATATGCCGTTGAGCCAAATTATTGCCTAGGTATTATATATATATATATTATACAATTATGACATGAGTTTCCTTGATATGCTATGATTTAGAAGGTCCTGACCACTGGATTCCACCTTCCCCGCCCCTCTCGATGGGGTCCTCAAATGGGGCGTGACGTGACCGTGACCGATAGTCCCATGGACGTTTGGTCCAACGGTGGGTCCAAGGAAGCCCCGCAGGTTCCCTAAGCTGAACTTGACCCCCAGGAGCATGGTGAATGATTGTTCAATGCTCGTTTGGTGTCTTCTTTCTTTAATTGCCCCATGATAATTATGAGGTTTACATCTCCATACCCGGGTCATCCCAGGTAAAAATATATATTTATATATATTTATAGTCAAAGAGTCTACTGAGTTCCAAAGGTTTCTGGGCTAGGCCCGTCCGCACCGCCAACACCGCGTTGACCGGCAGGGCAGCAAAAGAGTGAAACAGATGAGAGCCAGGAGAGCTTGCTGTGGCTCGAACGCGAGAGGGAGCATGCAGGCTTTGGGCATACAGAGAACTTGGGAAGACTTTGAGAACTTGGAAATGGTGAATGAAAACGTCGTAGTAGTCAGCATGGCTTGGTCGGCTTGGTGAATAGAATCATAAAACATCATAAAACCTTCAAGATGTTCAAGCCACTGACCAGGTCAGAGTGGACACAGTCTAACACATGCATATTGTACCAGGGAACCGCAGAGTGCAAAGCTCCTTTGGGATTTTGGAACATCATCTTGGGCTGTCCATACCCGGAGTTCTTGCGTCAGGACACATGCCCGGAGGACAACACTCTTTCATGATGGAGAAAACACATCCACCTCCGCCCAAACTTTTGGTAAAGAACCAGACCACCGGTTGTTTACAAGGTGGAAAAAAATTGCACCAGCAAAACTGGCCCTCAGAACACTGAACTTCAGAAATGGATGTCCCTGTCCTCTATCAGACTCTATCATCCTCTATTTGAGATGATGGTGTTTCAACAGCGGTACTGTACCAAGCTCGCCCCAAGTATGTGACCGCAACAGAGGCATTTTACAGCGCAAGTGAATGCCCTTTACATACTGCAAACGAATTGAGGACCGTGACCTTTATACATAAAGCAAGTGTACACCTCTTGCTGCTCTCTCCACTCCAAATACCGGCCTCGCTGTAGCAGGGGACAGGCACGGGACGTGAATCAATTTGTTTGGAACAATGCCGCGATTTCCTGTGAAATGAAAGGCGGTGGTCGCAACAATATGGAACAAAAAGCATGGACTTTCCGTGGATTCGGGCTCCACTCCGCCGGTTTGCGTTTTCTTTTCCACCCACCTTCGGGCGTCGCGGGGCGCACCATGTCGGGGAGGAGTTCCCCATTATAGGCCTTATCGAGGTCGATCAGGTCGTTTGTGTGGCTCAGATTCTTTTAACTTGTTGTCCTATGTACATGACCGTACTGAAGTGGTCATGGCTCAGATCGGTTCGTCTCCATGCGCTTCGTCTCGTCCATGCGCTTCGACCTCATGGGACGGACCGGTATCGACGTCAGTTCAGCACCCAGGCGTGCAAGCCCCGGTCTCAGACATGCTTCCGTGGCGGGGAGGGAGCGGCCGGATATAGGGAAGTGCCTATAGTACTGTATATAGATTCTACTTAGGAACCAAGGGAATGAATCGGTGAATGGATGGGATGGAATATGATGGAATTTATAGGGTTGCCATGTAGGTGGACTTTGAGACATTGAATGTGTTTTTTTTATTGGATTACGGAGTAACCTTTTTGGTACCGAACTTGCCGGGGACGGGGCCTTGGCATACACCAGAAGGGTAGGAAAGAGATGGAAAGACCACATTCTGAAAGCCCAAGGAACATGACCACCCTTCAGAATCTGGACAGATTTGAGAAATTGAAAAGTGTTTTAAGAAATTCCATGCCTTTGCGTCTGGGGGGTCCCAAGGATCATCAAGGATCATGAAGGAGCAGGAGATATGGTTCATGAAAGCATGAAGGAGCCCTGCCAGCGATCGTCCCAACCTCCCAGGGGACCCGACCTGCTAGGCTAAAGAGCCCGTGCTCAGAGCACCCAGTAACCCTTCACCTGTGCCACCCGGGTAGATCCGGAGCCTGTGAAGATCCTGAGGGAGCCTAGGAAGATCCATGGAAACGACCAGAGGAGACCAATTTGTTCGATTTGGGGCCGGACACGTGAAACACATGTGAACACGTTTGGCGCTGGACGCTTAGACAGTCCGTCTTGCGCGAGTTGGGGGGGAAAGTGACCACCAGTTTTCAGCACGATCACAGCAAGCCTTGCCGCAGAACAACGAGGCAAAGCGGAATCGCTTCGTGCCAAAGGCGCGTGAGCGCTTGGATTCCAAACACCTGCAGGACAGAGGTTTCTTTGGGCTCGCGCCGGAGGCCATAACTGCCGGATGCTACGTACGACATGAGTCTTCAGGAGTTCTTCGGGATGGTGACTTCTGAAGATCTACCATTGCTGTTCTACCATATTGCTTGTATGTAGTTCTTTTGTGGTTTGGATTTATGCTTTCCGCTGCCGCCAGGCCGCCGGAGTGAATCCAAAGATGTTCAATCCATTTCAAACCCATATCCCCGCAATCTGAATCAATTCACTGGCGTCATCAGAAGGGGGTCACGACAGAACTGTTTGCGGGTCACTGGTTCCTTTGCATCGCCTGGTGGGTCATGACACATTATCCACGCCTACTCCGAAGAAGGGCCCGACTCACCGTCCTCCGCTCCTCGCTTAATAAAGTACTGGTCTTGTTGCTTTCATTTACTGTTTGGCCTTTTTTGCTTTTCAACTCTCTTTGGGAATGACTACCCAGCTGACTAATGACTAAGTTTGGAGGGGTTTGAATGACCATCCAGAAACGCAATTAATGATTTGTTGAATTTCTTTTGGGTCGGGTGCTTCCCATGTATTATGTTTCTTGCCGATCCGTGCAGAGCAAACACAACATACAGCTGCTGTATTTCTGGGGGATCCTTTGGGTGGGCAATGATGTTGCTTTTCTTGGCAAAGATTGTTATGCTTAGTCACTCTATGTGCTCTTTCCCTGCAAGTATGTGGTTGATTGCTAGTCACAATGCTTGGCAGTGCACATTTTCTGTGGATGGTTGTAGTCATTTCAGCTGGTGCCATTGCGATCCAATTATTTGACTGTTGTGGAGCATGCCTTGAACCACCAAGAGTGGCTTCAGGTGCTTTCGTGCTTTGTAAGGTTTCGGGTTGGAGGGTGGTAGAAGAAGAAGAGGAGAAGGAGAAGCACTGTAACGAGTCAAAGGTTTTTCGAATGAAACAAACAGCAGAGACCTTCGACTTCGCGTCCGAGCGTCGGACCATTTTCGTTGAGAAATCGGTGCGGGAAACCCCGCAGTGCACCAGGACTCGGAGCAGATTTTGTGAAGCTCGGCCTCGGACGGTTTCGGACCTTCAAGACACCTTTCTGAATGTGAGGCCTTTGGGAACCCGGTGACGGCCGGTTGGTTGGGATCCAAACGGTTTCACCTCCAGACACTAAGACCATTCTTCCGATGTTTGCCGAGAAGGCCACAGCTTCGTTTCACATCGATCCTACAGACGTCCTACGGTCCTATGTGTCGAAGATGGTTGTCATCTCTTGAAGATCCGAACGTCAAGTTCTCGCATGTGCGGGCCGGCCAGAGCCGCTCAGCCATTCTTTCGCCCAACAGATGCAAGTAGCTCGCCTTGATTCATGTGGTTTTGCACCATCTCTTCTAAACCAGCTCGTCGAGGCAGGAAAGCCATGTCATCAATGCTTTTAAACTCTCTCGACGTTGGGTGGAAAATGATGCAGGTTGTCTTCACATTCGCAGATTGCTTTGGATTTGATCCTTTCCCACATGAAATTCAAAGCTACTGGTGTGTGTGTGTGTGTGCGCATGTTGAGTCAATCTAAGGGCAGCCGTTCCAGCTGCGGTCAAAACAGTGGGATCCATCGTTTGCTGGGGGCGGTGGGTTTCCGACATGGAAGCGCTTTGTTCAGACATGCTTTGTTCAGACACCATGAGAACCACCCCCCCTGTCAACGCAGAAAAGACAGCCAAAAGAAGATGTTGCATTAAAGTGTGTTTCCTATTAGAGTTACCTGCATGTGATTTGAATTCCTGGACGGTTGCTGATCCTTAGTGACCTGTAAGATCCTGTAAGCACAAAAGGTGTTCCTTAGTTTGAATTGTGTTAAAGTTCGTCAGATTCAGATTCATCCTCCGAAACATCCTTGCGCTTGAGCTTCTTCTGCCTTGTAGCCTGCCCCAAAGCCCACGAACCTTCGCGTGACTGGATTCTCTTTGCCCCCACCGGTGGGCGATTGAATGTGAAGTCGACCCTTCGGTGCAATGCAAGCCATTGGTTTTTCTTTTCATTTTCCAAGATCGATCCCTGTAGAGCTGCCTGTGCCGCCTTTCTGCCACTTTAAAGAATGGATTTCCAAGATCCAGGGCCTGCTGTTTGGATGTGTGGGTTTGCTGTCATGTTGATCCAAAGCACACATTGTTAAACCTATTATACAACACACGTAGTAATTACATGCGTCTACATCCCGGACGTAGCCGGTAATCCAGAAGACTCCAACGGACGCATCTCATGAGACGAACCGACAAGCTCCAGACCCAACACCGAGTCGACCGGGTTGTCTTCCAGGCACCACCGGTGGTTAACAAGTGGATCGTTGGTCGTTGACGACACCAGAAGAGTATCCAAATACAATGGTTTCAGAGTAGATGGCACAATCCCCAAAAGGTGGTGTATATGGACCCCCATCTAAAAGACATATAGGGGTTTGTGCCATCTACTCTGAAACCACTGTATCAGCCTATGCCTTGATGGCTTGGGTTGGCTACATCTTGATTAGGTTGGAGCTTCCCCCCCAAAAAAATGCACTGGATCCTTGGAGTATCCTCTATATCAGATTTGTCAGTTTGACCTTCCGACAGTAGATGGGACTGTTCAAAAACAGCTGAACGCAATCAATGCCCCGGGGCCCGGTCCCGGCCCACAATTCTGACAGGAACCAGGCAACACAAGCAATTCGCGGGTGGCAGTTCACGAGCACATTTACTGGTCAAAACTGAGTCAAGACAGATGTGACGCCTTTGTCAGGTACATGTTGTTGAGTCCTGCCCAGAGGCATGGGATCGGAACATGCTGCTGCTCATGTTCAGATCATGTTGCCCATTCATTTACATTCTTGAACCATCCAGTCATCCGAACCATCCAGGCTTCCAAAAGTCAGGCACCTCTGGCTCCGCGGGGGAAGGACGCTAAGGACACATCCGGACGCTTTGCAGCGCAAGCCTTGTGGCTCCGACCGAAGAAAAAGGATGGGCCGCGACCGTGGTTTCCGACCGTGTTCGGGGCCGGAACCGGGGGGTGGCTGGCTGAATGTTTGCCCCACATCTTCCTGCGGGTCTGTGGGATCTTCCAAAGACCACAAGACTACGTTTAATTATATAATATATATGTGTGTGTTATTACAGTAACTATACATAACACATATATATATAATATATAATTCTGTATACATTATAATCCTGTATTTACCTCGGAGTATATACGTTGCTTGAAAAGAGTTCACCTGAGACAAACCTTCTGTTTGACCCACAGAGGTCTGGCACCAGCACCTACATGCTTTGCCGTTGAGGCAGCGAGCCTTCCAGAAAGCACATCTTGTGAACCACCAGGAGAGTGTTGTAACTTTCTGTTTCCATGTGTTCCAGGTGACATCGCGTGTGTTTCCCATGTGTTCCAGGTGGCCATGGCCATGATACAATGAGTCGTCCAAGATATTTGTTTAAAGGAAACTAAGATGAAAGTTGTCACCTAGAGACTCACTAGAAGGACCCGGTTCCCGTGAAAGCTTGCTGACCTTCGCTGACCTGCGATGTACCGAAAAGAAATGCCTCGGAACTATGATCATGTGGTGCATAGAGACAATTCGAGTAGGATATAGTAGGTATCGAAGTTTCAATCCCATGGTGGTGCAGCCTGTTGATTTGAAGCCATTTGAAGGACCTATCATGAAGCGAAATGAGGACCCATCACAGCACGAGCTTGGAAGCGTGAACATGTAAAGCAACTATGACTTGTGAGATTGGAAGCGCAAAGGCTCAACCACACCTTTACCTGAAGAAAATGTAGTTGAATGTATAGGAATTTGTGCCAAGGTTCCCTGGGAGGCCAAGCTCATAGGTCCCATACAACCTCGTTAGGAGGCTTGGAGAAAGACCGATCAGCAGGCACCAGGCCAAATCGGCAGCTGATCAATCGGGCAGCAACAACAAGATTCATTCATGTAGGCCTACTCCAGCGATGAAACAGGAATGCCCCTGCATCTGTTTGGTGGTCGCACCCGAGCCGGTGCCGAGCCCATGCTTCGGAAATGCCGCGAGTCCACCAAGCCGGGAAGCCTCGGGTGTTGTCCGCCGAACAAAAAGAGCGGAGCCCCGATCGATATCGCAAAGATTTGAGCAAAGGTGCATATATATATATATATATAGCTGTACAATACAATGTATAACATGGTGTTCCTGTGTATGATCCAAAAAGTCTATATGTAATATGTATACTTACATATCATAATATATCTAAGGAACAGGGTAAAAAAAAAAACACATGGGTGATGTAAGCAGTCCGAATAAATTGCTCTGATGTAAACTGAAACTGCTGGGAAGGAGGTGATCACATCAGGGTCCAGGTAAAAAATCATCAATCACAGGTTTTTCTCTTGGTATGTCATGTTGGCTGTGCCAGACAGCATGTGCCCGAAAGGCGGTTTCAGGAAACATGATTTCATGCAACTTGCTTGGCTGCTTCATTCCACATCCAGAAAACTGAGGGACACACAAAAAGATTGTTGGCCAAGAAATCCGAACACTGAGGGAAACAATCACGCTGAACATATAGTATGTTTGTAAAACTTTGAGTTCTTTGTCGTGGGGAAAGGGTGTGTTTTGCAGCCATACCCATGTTTGGTGGGGCTTGATCATGAAGAGTCAACTGAGTGACAGCGATCAGCGCCATAAGTTGAAACATACAAGCTGAGTACGAGTGGAAACCGGTGACACAGTGAAACGAGGTCTGATCACGCATATTGAGATTGGTGTTTCCAAACATCTTCTGCCGGATTGAGGCATTCAAGTGGTAGGTTGCGGTAGTAGGCGGCCGGATGGGGCCATCTGACCCTCGCATGGCACCGAACAGGACTGGACCGTCCTGCGGATCCTTTGTGTTGCATGCGCCTGGGGGCCTGGGAAGGGCCTGGAAAGGGCCTGGGATGTTCAGGGGGCCCAACTCAACCGATCCGGTGATGACCCTTGGTGGCGGAGAACATGGCCACTGTCAGACAGGGTCAAGTGACTCTTAAGTGTTTTTGTTCATGTTTTTTCAACTCACAACACCAGCACAACTTGCGGAGTTGCACCAAAAAATTGCACCACTTCCATTGGACAGGCCGGTTTTGGGAGGGTTTTCCGATGTGTTTCTTTTCTCTCTCTCCATGTGTTGTCGCTGAAACGTGGGATAGATGTCTTCGCCAATGTCGGGTTCAGAGAATGTCAGGTTCCGACCCGAGGTAGGGTTCCCTGAAGAGGTGAATGTTCCAAATGGACGGCCTTCTACTACTGGTTGGTGGATGTATGGGAAGGGGATGCCCTGTTGAGTGTACAACCATGTAATTATATACCAACAAGTCTATAGTACCTGCCATCGACCCCTCTTACTGTATCCCCCCAAAAGACCTTGGTGCACGACTCGTGACTGAAAACACCTCAGACGGGACCCGAGCCTGCGTGGTGGTCGAACATGGTGGAACTGAACCCATCTGAAAAAGGCCCTGAGATTCTGGCATGCCACTGGAAAATGAGTCTGATATGAGAAAGTTGAGAGCACATGGCAAAGAAAGTCGTCGTAAATCTTGAAACCAACACTTGTGCTGGCTTATAGGTGTGGGTGTACAGTGTATATGTATTTGATATATTGTTTTGTCAAGTCTTGTCCACAAATGGATCCAGTTTCATGGATGTTCGTGATGCGAAAATCCCTGGAGATCTTGGTTTTTGTGGTCTTCAGATTCACCCACAAATGCACATATGTCTTCAGGCCGTTCCACCGATACATCCGGGGTTTGGTTGTTCGAGGTGTGATACATGTACAACATGTATATATTTACACATCGACCCTGAAAACCACTGGTTAACTATACAGAGAAGCACCATCTTCCGCTCCATGTTTGTCTTCAAGGAGGGTGGAAAGCGTCCGGACGTTGTCCGACCGGAGCCTGATGTCGACCGTTCATCCCTAAGGTGGTAGACGCCCAGTTGTCGACCGGCATCACGGGGATGGAGAGTGTTCCTTTGGCAGGTGAACAATATCGCGTCTCGCATGGACGCATGTCTGTACAGACGCAACATGACCTGCGCGGCTTGTGGTTGTGGTTGTTGCTGTTGCTGGTGT